ATTTGTATCAAGATAAATATACTAGATTAAGAACTAATTAAATAGCTGTTTATAATTCGCTTCTTGTCATAACCATACTGTCCCCCATGTCCTCCCTGTCCAACCAGTTAATCCACGTATTATTGTGGAGCTTAGGATCACTGCGCGGATCAATACTATGGACTGTAAGCGGCGGTACAGACGTCTCGTTAAAAGCAATCAATTTCTGCCACAAGAACTTCACAAACTGGGGATCCGTTTCCCCAATCAGGTTATGGTATTCGCACGGGTCGTGCCGTATGTTAAACAAACACAACTCAGTTGTGCAGTCATTGTTGGCCGGGTCGGTAGGTTCATGTGGTTCGCACTCAACCACCGACTCCTTCAGCACCTCATAATCGGGTCGTCTATTCATTTGCCGCAACACTTTATATGATTTACTATTCACGCGATCCTTAGACTGTAATGATTGTAAAAATTCCCTGTTTAGACCGTTGTTTTGATAGCCCAGAGTTCGCACCCATAGGCCCGACCTTTCATATACGACAAGTTTTGGATTCTGAATAAGTTTCCAGTCGTACCACCGAATGGCCGATATATTAATCAAAGAATCGACATTATGTATGATTTCCGTTCGCACCGGGAGTTCATTATTTGATAGTACACTCCATTGAGATTTACCTTAAAATAATATTTAAGCATTTTAATAAACTATGAATAATATGATTGCTTCAGGTAATTGTAGTGACATTTTAAACTGATAAAAAACCTATTTCAAATAAGTTTCAAATAAAGTTTCAAATAACTTATTACATTTTATATTGATTATTAAAAATCAGTAAGTTAGTATGTAGGATATTTTAATAAAATTCCCTATGTTCCCTGTTGCGAGTTAACATGGCACATGATTGTTTAATTATTCACTAAATTAACTATTATGTTATATATCAATATACCATAAATAATTTGTTCATTCAATATGCCGGCGCTGTTATCGACGGCATCTAAAATGGTGGGCAATACGTCTGTCACGTGAATCATGGCGTCGGACACGTAACCACTTTTGTTCAACAATGGACTCCATATGAACGCCGGAACTCTTATACCTAACACACAATGAAAATATATGACACAAAGTTTATAATTATTGTCAATACTAGTTGTAATATATAGTGCATTACACAACGTTACTTGATAAGTTAATAATTATTGATAATGGTAGTTTTAATTTTGAATTATCGGTATACAAACTGTCATGATAATACAATATACCTCCCTCAAAATATTCCAATTTCATTCCCCTTAGTGGCCAATTTGATCCACCGTTTGCTATCAAATAAAAATGTATGTAAAACAGTACAAGCATTTAGTTAAATAGTTAAAACCATTTTAAAACAGTAAGTTAAAAAACGTATACACACAAAATCTCGAATAACAGAACCTCGAATTTCAAAATCTCAAAGAAGAGAATCTCGAAAACATAATTTCGAAATGAAAACAATCTTATCCAACTAAAACCAGAGTAACTATTACATCCACATATATCTAATGTAGCATGATTATTACCTTGTGGAACCATTAAGTTGGGTTAGGTCACGCGTGGAGTACCGGCCCGGCCCAATACCCATTTGTTACCGCTTACAACTCTTCGCATACATCAGATATATGTGGATGTGATAGTTACTCCCGGTGTAGTGCTATTAATACAATTGTTTTAATTTCGAGATTATGTTTTCGAGATTAAGATATTCGAGATTTTGATGTACTTTCGTTAAAAAATTCATTACAGAAATCAGCGCCAGTGGTGCCCCCATTATCGCTCATAAATATAATAATACTGTTTTTCAACATTTGTTTCGAGTGTAGGCGCTCGACAACCGCACCGATCGACTCGTCCATACTGTAGGCCGCGGCGGCCAACCCTCGTCTCATATCGGACTCGATGTACGCAAACATATCGATGTACTCCTGGGGCGCCTCCACCGGGAACTTATTAGCCGATACATGTAGGGCCTGGTGTGGCATATATAGGAACAGTGGCTCAGATGTGTTGTGTTCATCTGTGTTAATAACAAAATATGATAGTTTACTAAAATATAACCCAGGTATATATATATATATAATTATCTAAAATAAACTTAATTATAAGCAAACAATGAATGCAATTAGTCAGCAAAGAAATGGTCCCGCGGGAGTGGGTTTTTATGCGGGACCTACTCCCGCGCTCGGGAGTGGGACTACAGTGTATGGAGTGAGGCGCGGGAGTGGGAATCCCGCAAAGCAAGCGCGGGAGCGGGAGTGAGGTCCCGCACTGACTCCCGAATTAGCAAAAACATGTGTATGACATACACTGTATGCTATATGTTACTGTGAGTCTTCACTCACTCCCGAATTATATATCACTCTCATTGCCTTTGCATAGCGTTCGCATTATATACATAAGCATTATATAGTCATAGTCTGTCGCTAACATAGCACAGCACTGAATGTATATGTGTTATAGCCTGTAGGCCCCGTACTCGGTATGTGCGGGAGTGGTGGGAGTGATGCGGGAGTCCAGCCAAACCTTATGTACAGGAGTGGAAGTCCCGCAAAGGATTTTCTGTGGGAGTGTGCGGGAGTGGGAGTGAAGCCAATGCAACATTTCAATGATTAATTGCAATCCATACTAACCGATTATATGAAGGCATCTGTCGGTGAAATAATGTGTTGAATAAACGCCCGACGCGTTTGTAATGACATCCATGTTATGTCGGAAATCAGAGCCACAACTAGAATTACCAGGATAAGCAAAAAATTATGAAAACATTGTGTACGTAATACATTTCTATGAGAGAATAAATCATGGACAACGTACCTGACCCGGTCATGTGGGTCACAATTGGTATGATTGAAATAGAATTGCCTGTTAGTCCAATAACCCACGTGCGAGTCAAAGCCCCGGTATGTTGGCGTGTATTCACGGTTCATAAAACCTAAATGCCATTTGCCTTAACAAGTAGAAAATTATTAAAACCTTTTTTGCACATTTTGTTTTGAATATTATATTGATCATAGTAATTAAGATTACTATTGCATTCCTATAAATAAATATGTTTATATATTATAGTAGTAATTAAATATTAAGATTATTAAAATTGCTACCATACCCACTATATGTGTGGCATAATTATAATGCTTAAGATATTGTGGTAATAATTTAAAGTGTAGGGGCAAACCAGTGGCCATATAAGGCATTAGTACTTCATGTTGAAAGCCAATATGCATGGGATGTCTACCGGTGAGTAGGGCACCCCTACTTGGGTTGCAAAGGGGTTGTACGTAGAAATTGTTTAATACGACGCCATCGGCGGCCAATGTGTCAATGTTTGGGGTCAGGATGTGGTCGGAGTGGTAGCCCACGTCAGCCCATCCCATGTCGTCCGCCATAAA